GGAGAAATCGGCCGCCATTTTCATACAAATCGAACAAGTGAATGACTTTTACTCCCTGTCGTCTGCTATCTGAAATCGCCGCTTTTGTGCATTAGGAATAAAAAATATCGTAAGTAACACGAGAATAAAGGCAGCCAATTTCTTTACAATGATTTTTGTGACACTCGTTCCGGTCTCGGGGCGCCTACAGCGCCCTCGACCTCCACTCGTGTCACAAAAATCACCGTAAAGAAATGGCTGCCTTTCTCCTCTTGTTGCTTAATATACTATTTTCGTCTTTTCATCTACTTTAATCCCAAGAAGTGTTAGAAAAGAAAAGTTGAATTTCCTTTTTTTAAATAAATTTAAATTTTTTTTTTATTTCGGAACGTCCTTCCGGCAGGACGGGCGCTTGGACGATCTATCATTAAAGACAATTCATGTCTCAGTGTCTACTGTAACTTTAACGTTACAGTGGAATACTGCCTCAATATTGTGAGAATATTTAGATTTGTGCGTTCAGTTTACTTCATCTATTATTTGCCTTTATCTTGACATGTCAGGGCTCGAACCAGTGAAAGTATTTAAAAATACGAACTTTACGGACCAATTACTGACAAAAATATATAAGAGAACATTCTACTTAAAACTATAAATTAAATTTTTTCATAACTAAAAAGCATGAAGATATCGATCGCTCCGAGTCTTCGAGTCGGAGCGATCGATTACTTTGTGTTTTATAATAATTAAAGATAGAATGATAAAATCATTATCAATTCAATTATTATTTTCAAAAATTTTTAACTAAAATTCTTCTTAAAATCGATTATTTTTTATAATTTTCAAAAAAGTTCTTTGACAATTTTCATATCCATTTTTTTACAATATTCAATTTTACGAAATTTCAATTATTTTTAAATTCTTTAATTAAATATATATATAAAAAAATAAAAACTTCAAATAATATAAAAAAATCCACAATTAAAATTTCTCAAAAAAATTAATTCCACAGAATTGTTAGTTAAAAATATGAAAAATTTTAATTTTCAAAGATTTGAATCTGAAACCTTTTCATTTAATTATTTCTAAAACTTTACACTCTAATACTTTTAATATTCAATTGTAATCTAAAATTTTAACTAAAATCCATTTTTAAAAAAATTTTTATGACAAAATCCAACGAGAATTTCATTATTTAAATACAAAAAAAAACAATTTATTGAAAATTTATTGAATAATTACATTTGTTTCTTAAAATTAAATTCTTTTAAAGAATTGTATTAATCAATTTTTAAATAATTTTAATTCTTTTGCAAAAATCTATTAAAATAGTAGATATTAAAAATAATTAAATTAGGGAAAATTTTTGAAAATAATTAAAATTTTGACAAGAAATTTATTAAATTTTTTAAAAATAATTCAATTTTAGAGAAGAATTTTATTATTTATAAAGATAATTGATAATTTACGCTAAGAATAGCATTAAAAATTTTGAATGCAATAATTTTATTCTTTAAATAAATTTAATTAAATATTTATCAAAAATAATATTTAAATTGTAATAAATAAATTGTAGCAAAGGTTATTAAAATAATTAAATTTCTTTCATAAATTTTAATAAAATTTTTAAAGAATAATTACATTTTTCGAGGAATTCGATTAAAATTGTATTAAAAATAATTGAAATTCAACAATTTGCTTTATTATTTATCAAAATAATTGAATTCCTAATAAGAATTTTATTATTTCCCAAAAAAATTAAATACCTGTAAAAATTTTATTGTTTATGAAAATAATTGAATACTGCGAAGAAATTTATTAAAAAAATTTGTAAATAATGCAATTCCTGTAAAATTTTTATTATTTTTTGAAAATAATTAAAGGTATGTATAGAATTGTAGATTTTTTTTTAAACAATTGAATTCTTTTGGAAAATTTTATTAGAATAGTATAGATACCTATTAAAAATCATTGAATTGAGGAAAAATTTTGAAAATAATTGAAATTTTTCCAAGAATTTTATTTAAATTTTTGAAAATAATTGATATTTTGAAGAAGAATTTAATTATTTCTAAAGATAATTAAAGTTTTGACGAGAATTTAAAAAAAATTTTAAACATAATTGAATTTTTGCGAAGAATTTTATTACTTTTGAAAATAATTGAATTCCTTCAATCATTTGTAATTTCTCTAAAATTATCTAAATTATATCGTATAATTTACGTACTTTACTGACCCTTTTTTCAAAAAAAGAACGGACTTTTACGGACTTCAAGCAAAGTTACGGACTTTTACGGGATTTACGGACCTAGTTCGAGCCCTGCATGTTAGGTTGTTGTTAGAAGAAAATTTTCAATCTTATGTGACTATTGAAATAACTGTTTAAGCAGAATTGTTTGTATTCTCTAATTTGGTTTTAATAAAATTTTTAAAAAAATACTCACTCAGAAAGATTATGGTTCGAGGGCGAACTCCAACGACAAATTTCCATAAACGATGATAGCGTTCTAATGACCCGTTTGTTCGATGGGGCATGTTAAAAACACAAAACCTTTCAACTTTTATAACTTTGAACCAGTAACTCCGTATATACCAATCGTATTCAGCAAACAGTTCTTTCAGGGTTTTTTTCTCATTTGAATTTTTTCGGAAACAGACTTTCTCTGTTGAAAGAGAATCGTACAATTCTTTGTACGATTCCTCTATATGTTCTTGAGGAAGCAAAGGCAAATTTTTGCATTTGTTGAAAAATCTTCTAGCTTCTAAGCAATTTAAAATGAGGTACTGCAAACCGTGTTTTCTTGTCCATTTCGTGTGATCCTATAAAATAAGTTTAATTTCAATCGCGAATTTAATATATTAAATAAGACTTCAGAAGGCTTAAAATATACTCTATCATAAATGTGTTAAAAGAATGTAATTTGACATAAAAATGTCGTGTAATTTAATAAACTTTTTACAAAATAAGGAGGAAGCAATGTATATGGGTATTATAATAAAACTTTTTCAAACATTAATACATTTTGTAAAATACATATTTAATTATTATTACAAATTTTCCATAGGAATTGAGATTTTAAAAAAATTCAAATTTTAAACCTTTTAAGATACAATAAATAATCGATCAACATTGTTACTGTCAAGTTTCAATAATTAAATATATTAACCTAAGATCATTTACCTAGATTCAGCAAGGGTCCTGGTTTCCAGTGGAGTAAGTAAAAATAGTTATTTATGATACAAGTGCGTAAAATCGTTGATTATACGAGTGTGACGTTTGCAGCTCGAGCCGAAGGCGAGTGCTGCAAGTCACACAAGTATAATCTGATTTACGCACGAGTGCCATACAAAATTTTTTGCAACACTAAAACAACTATACTTGCAGCAATATTGCTAATATTACTGTAACTTTAGGTGTAGTGGGGAACTGTTAAATGAAGTATTCTAGAAGCTAAAATAAAAAAATGTGATTGTAAAATGTTAATTAAAAGCATTATTTCATTGTTTCTCATCAAACAGTCACAAGAATGCGTAAAGTAACCTTTTTACGCACTGAAAATCACTTTACACACTGGAATTCACTTTACACACCGCTATAAAAAGAAGTACTTTACACACAGTTTTCTGTGTGTAAAATTCAATTTTACAGGTTAGTGTTGCAAAAATTCCATTTGCAAGAGAAGGACAAAACCATGTTTGTCTTGTTCTTACTAATTACAATTTACTACTTTTCAATTCAAGTTTACGTAAACTTGAAAATTTTTTGATTAAATGTTTTTTTATAAGAATTTAACTAATTTGAAAAAAATGTAATAAAATTTTTTAAAAATTACAACTTTTTCATAATTTTTAATTAAAGTTTTTCAAAATAAATTTTTTTGAAATCATTCAATCTTAAATTTCTTTAAAAATCAATTTCAATTGATTCATTTTTCTAAAATTTTAAATTAATTGTTTTAAATATTAGAGAAAATTCTTTGAGGATTCAATTATTTTATGTTGAACAAAGTTGACCTAAAATATTTCTGAAATTTACTTAAACTTTTTATAAAATCTCCAAACTTTTCTTTGAATAATTTTCCTTTTTTTCATTTTTCTCTGAATTATCTGTTTGCTTTATCCATGATAAGCCTGCTTTTTGTATGGAAATTAAATTAGTGATTCATAGAAAATTTAGCAATATTATGTACTAGTTAACATTCATGCATGATTAGAGAAAGCTTTTAAAGTTTCATCTTATGATACTCTAAATAGTTAGACCAAGAATATATGGCGTTGAAATGCAGAATGATGATACTTCCAAGATAACCACGCAGTGCAGTAAAAATTTCTTTGAAAAATTTTTTGCTATATGAGTACATAGTTGTACAAATAAAAAATATTTATACTTTGAAATACACTAAATGCATGCGAATACAATCCCACATTATGGACATATTTAAAAAAGTAATCTATAATAATGAAAAGTTCGTATAACCTCATAAGAACCTATTTTGTATGACTATTGTATTTGAGTAGGCACTTTATAGAAAACACTAACATTATAACATTTAATTTCATTATTTAAAATAAAAAATAATGTTCTTTATACAAGTTAAGCATATTATGGTCTCTATAACTTGGCAATCGATTGGCTGAGTTATAGTGGAAAAAAGTACAGATCGAATTTTGGTTGAAAAAGAGGATTCTTCGCTTTTTGGTTTAAGAAAAGGGCATGTCGAAAAAATTAATTCTAAATGAATTTTTGTTTGTCAATAAAATGTATAATGTAATTGATTTATGAGATTTTGTGCTAAAGAAACTGAATATAATATGTTCGTAAATCTTTGAACACAAAAACTCAAAAAACAATTGTATTAAACATAGTATCGTCAAACAAAATTTTTTTAAATTGAATATTTTCGACGTGTCCTTTTCTTCAACTAAAAAGCAATGTGTTTTCCTTATCAACCAAAATTTAAGGTGTACATTCTTTCCATTAAACAAACGAATTGAGGACCGCTTGAAACTTTAAAGCAATAATGGGTACTTTATTAACTTACTGTATAAAAAAAATTGGCATGCTTGGCACAAGTAGGGTTGAGTATGATTATTACTTAACTGTTTATCATAAGAACTTTTACGGTTGCGTAAATTCTCTCTTACAGCACCGAAAAGCTATTAAAACTTTGTTATTAAAAAATTGCAATTTCAAAATACTTTGCAGTGTTTTGATTCATGCTTAAAAGTCAGTAATACCTGTTCACTGATTGCTCGAGTTTTATCTATTTAAATAATTACTGTAACAGTGAAGATAAAACTTGTCAATATAATATTTTCATGTTAGGACATGTCTCATTAATTACAATAACGCAATAAATAAATGACACTTACATAATGAAAGTGGAAAAAGCATCCTATTGAGGTTACACCTTCGAAGCATAGTTTTGCTGCGTTCATCATTGCTATCTCAAAATCTGACATAACAATTTTTGGAGTTAACGTCGGTGCAATTCTTTTGAATTCTTTAAAAACTGCTTCATAAGCCTGCTGCTTTTTCGAACTCATAAGTACGTAAAATAAAGGAAACATCTATAAACATAATTATTTTTCAGTAATTATTATTGAAGTGAATGATACACCAATATTCAAAAATTTGTAAAAATGTTGATAATATCGATCAAAATTATTTTTATGATAATTTTTTGTGATAAATTCAATCTTTATAAAATAAAATTGTTCACATAATATTTTGAATAATTTGAAATTTTCATTTTTTCTGAAAAATTATTGTAGGGGAAAGTCTCCAGTTGTGAGACAGTCAATTTTTTTTAACATGCAATATTAAAAAGCCGATTGGTTTATATAAAAACATTTCTTTTTATATGAGCCAACTATTTCGTGTACACCGAGGCGGATATATAAACTGTTTTTGTTAAATACCAACACTGTGTGTGATAATCGACTAAAAAGCGTTTTTTCAATAAATGCAAAGTACTTTTTTTGCAATTTAATTAATTGAAAAAGGTAAATGTAATGCATTTTCTTTTAGTGTTTTCCTTATATTTTGTGATGCAACATTGCATTGTTCCAATCTACGGTTCAAAATAATTTAATTTTCCTTTTTCAAAATAGCGCCAATTTCTGGGTGTGAGACACAGCATATCACCAGTTGTGAGACGGCGTCAACACCCATCTGGGCAGCATAAAAAATACTACTTTGCAGGCATACTATTTAAATGTTGTTTTGATTCTTTTTTCTAGTATTTTTGGGCATGTCAAGTGGAAAAAAGTCAATTGATTCAGAAGAAATCAATTTTAATGATCTTGTTGAAGCTATTAAATTATGTTTATTTGATAGTCATATTTTGGCGAATAAATATTATTATTTAGTATATAATAATATATATTATTAATATATTTAATTATTTCTACTAAACATAACGTTTTATGTCAAACTTATTAAATTTTAGCAATTTTTAATGAGTGTCTCACAACTGGAGACATTTTTTTTTTTTGAAAAAAGCGATGTGCTCGGAAAATGTATCGTAAAATTTTTTGAGTTCATCGAAACACTATACTTTCTTTTAATAAAAGTGGCGTATTTCTGTTACCTTTCGAACGGTGTATTTTATTTACAATTTCGTTTGCCCGTTTACAATTTACGGGTCAAAAATGAAACCCGTCTCACAACTGGAGACTCTCCCCTACAATTAGTTAAAACGCCAATAGCTGTTTTAGATAAGTATTAATTATTATTTTTAAAAAAAAACGACATTTCGATAAAATTTAAATTCTAATCATTTGAGGATTTATCAATTTATTGAAATTGTTGCTGTAATTTCATTTAAATAAGTAAATTTCTATTATTTAATTATTATACTACTATTATTCTTATCAGTAAAATCTCTTTTAATTTTTATTTTACGCACAGGATGAAGAAATAAATTTTAATTCCCTTAAATAAAAGTTCATTACATTTAATAAAAGTAAATAAATAATTTTTTGAATATTAATTAATGTTGAATTAGTTAATTTATACATAAAATTTTAATACATTCTTCACAATAACTAAAATTTTGAGTTTAATTTTTGTTAAACAAATAAATATCTTAATGTTAAAGAAATATTTTAAGATATATAAATGTCAGATACATGTTTTAAACATTTAAAATTAAATTTACATCATGTTTTTCAGGATATGTGAAATTGGAGAAATTCTATACAGAAGAAAAAACTAATTGAAACCATTCCATCTTATTTTCATTCTTAAAGAGATATTTAAAAATTTATATTAAATTGGTATTATGATCATTCTTGGCATTTTTTAGATAGGTTTTTTTATACACATGTAAATTAAATGCGAGCGAAAATCCAAACCGGGATTTTAGCTAGATATATTTATAGAAACTAACAAAGTAGTTAAGCTACACGGGTTCTGGCCCAGTTACCGACCGTCGGTAAGGTAGATTTCCTAATAGCTCACTTTCAGGTGGATTAGAAGGAGTGTTCTACTTTACCGACCGAGTTTTTAGTACCGGCTGCCACCGCTAGATATCGCCACAACTCAATTTAAACCCCTTTAGAGGGGTATTAACATTTTTATTTTTGAATTTTCAAGTGTGTTAGAAGGGATGTTCTGTTTTACCGACATCTGTGTTCAAGCTGCCACCGAGAGATGGCGCCACATGTGAATTCTAACCCACTTGGTGGGAAATTTAAATTTTTTATTTTTAAACTTTCAAGTGGGTTAGAAGGGGCAATTTAAAATTTCGCGTCACTAAGTGAAAGTTGGTTAGTGTTCTACCTTACCGACTTTGATGATAATGCTTCTATAAAAATGTCGGTAAATTACCGACTGATGGTAAGTTACCGACCGATGATAAGTGTTACCATCAGTCGGTAATTCAGATTTCTTTCACAATTTTTGGTCGGGTCGGTATGTCAGAGTTCTGCATTACCGACCGATGACCCACTTGGGTTATGTTAACTTCAAGTTATCCCGGTAGCCGGCGTTTACTACATTGTGGTAGGAGAGTTGCGCGCGCCTGTGGAGTAGTGGGGAGTTGCGCAGTGGGGAGGTGAGTATAGTGGGGACTGGGGTATAAGTTACGGAGCGCGGCCACAAACATCAGTTGCATCTTGAATGGTGCAGCAGTCTACTTCCAGGTTTTCAGGGTTCTAGAGTTTTCAGAGTTTCTTTCCAGAGTTAATTTTCAGAGTTTTTTTTGTTTTGAATGTAGGGGTTATTGATTTTTTATTATAGGTTTTTTTTTTATTTTTGTGTTCTAGTTTGCATTAGTTTTAAGTTGGTGGTGGTTTTTTTTTCTATTTTAGGGTTTTTTTGTTCTATTTTGTATTAGTTTTTAAGGTGGTGGTGGTTTTTTTCTATTTCAGGATTTTTTTAGTTTTAGTTGTTTATTATCAGGATTTTTTTTTAGTTTGAGTTTTTCAGGATTTTTTTTTTAGTTTTAGTGGTTTATTTTCAGGATTTTTCAGGTTTTTCTTAGTTTTAGACGTATTTTTTTTAAAGTTTCTTTCAGATTTAGCTATCAAGATGCCAAAGTGCAAATCGCGAAAGAAGTCTCGTCAACGTATTGACATGAAAGAGTACAATGAAATGTGTCAAGAATCTGACAACTTCATTACAACAGCGGAACGTCAGCTCCTTTCAACGATGGCTATGACTGCCAAGGAAAAAATGGTTACAGCATTCCAATGGCAGAACAAGTGTCAACGGTATATAAACATTTTCCGAAACTTTTAACGTGAGTCTGATTTTTCATCATCTCAAAGATCTAGGTGCTTAAATTAAAGACAAAAAATGGAATACTTGCTCTACCATTTTGATACTCTAACAAAACGTGGTGCGGGTGTTGAAGTAGTGAATGAAGGAATGAAATGGGTAGATTTTGAAGAAGCGTTTGAGAGTCGTTTACAAAATAGTGCTGTAATGAATTTAGATTGCAAGGATATTAATGAATTCCTTGATGATGCCTTTAGTTTATTTAAAGTTAACATTCAAAAAGCTTTAGACAGGTTTGGTCCGCTAAAAGTTTACACCGTATTGTTCGCGAAATTTGTTAAAGATTCCATTGATGGTAAAACCCAAGAAATATCAGATTTAAAGACATTCATCGCGAAAACCGGTGACATTTTAGTTACAACCCCATTAGATGAGTGGTACAATGTTCATGTTAAACAAGTAACCTTAAAAAGAATGGAGGAATTCCAAGAGAAAGATTCTAATTGGAGACTTCATTCTATTGAAAGGTTGGAGGTTAACATTAACAAGTACAATCCCATGCGCGCAAGTTCTTATATCAATTTGCCAACTTCTATCAATCGAAAGCATACCTGCATTAATGTCCAAAATGCTGATAATCAGTGTTTTAAATGGGCAATATTGTCAGCACTGTACCCAGCAGACAAACACTCAGATCGAGTTTCAAAATATAAACCCTATGAAGATACACTCAATTTTAATGGTATCGAATTTCCTGTTTCTCTCAGAGACATTTCTAAATTTGAAACCCTAAACAACATTTCCGTCAACTTGTATGGTCTTGTTAAAAGAGATGAGAAGTTTACAGTTTCACCTCTTCATCTTTCATCTCAAAAGAAGATGAATCACGTCAATCTTCTTCGAATTGAAGATCACTACATAGATGAAAATCTAAGTGAAGACGATGATGATGAAACTGATATACCGCTCATATCGTTTAACTACCATTATGTCTGGATAAAGGACTTGTCGAGACTTGTTAGCTCAGACTTATCAAAGCAGAAAAATAAAAAATTCATTTGCAATCGTTGCTTACATTATTTTCTGAATCAAGAAAAGCTCACTCAACATGAAGAGCATTGTCGAAAAATGAACGACACAAAGATTAAATTACCCAAAAAAGGTCAAAATACAGTCGAGTTTAAAAATTTTCAAAATAAGGAACGTGTTCCCTTCATCATTTATGCCGATTGTGAAAGTCTGTTAATTCCCTCGGCAGCACCCCAAGAACCAAGAAATACTGAGGTGTTTCAAAACCATGAAACTCTCAGTATTGGTTATTACTTAAAGTGTAGTTTCGATGAATCTTTGTCTATGTACAAGGCATCACCTAGAGATGAGGAAAATCCAGCTAAATGGTTTTCCACAGAATTAAAGAACTTGGCTGATAATCTAGATTCTGTATTTAGGAATCCAGTTCCCATGGAAACATTAAGTCCACAGCAGTTGGCAGATTTTCAAAATGATATGACTTGTCATATTCGTAAAAAGAAAATTGCGTATGGGGATGTGAAAATACGAGACCATTGCCATTTAACAGGGAAGTACCGCGGACCCGCTCATCAAGATTGTAATATTAATTATGAATCGCATATCATACCTGTTGTTTTCCATAACCTAAGTGGCTATGATGCGCATTTCATTATTGATGCTATTGCTACTGGATTTGAAGGTAATGTTTATTTGCTTCCCATTAACAAAGAAAAGTACATTAGTTTTACTAAAAATGTAAAAGGTGGGTTTCTAAAATTTCGTTTTATTGATTCTTTCAAGTTTATGGCATCATCTCTGGATAAGTTAGCATCCTATCTCGATGAATACAAAATTGTGAATTCCGTTTTTTCGAATTACAGCGACGATAAAATTCAATTGTTGACGCGAAAAGGAGTTTTTCCTTATGAATACATTGATTCAAGGGAAAAACTCGACGAAACAGAGTTACCGCCGAAAGATAAATTCTACAGCACATTAAACGATTCGAATGTTTCTGATGAAGACTATGCACATGCGCAGAAAGTGTGGAGTGAATTTAATTGTCAAAATCTTGGTGATTATGTATACTTGTACATGCAAACCGACATACTGTTACTCGCGGACATTTTTGAAAATTTCAGAAACCAGTGTTTAATCTCGTATGGTCTAGATCCAGCACACTATTATACTACACCGGGTTTGACTTGGGACGCAATGTTAAAGTATACTGAAGTAAGACTTGAACTCTTGACAGACATTGACATGGTAATGTTTATTGAACGAGGAATAAGAGGTGGTGTACAAATCGATATGCAAAAGCTAACAATCATTACATGGAAAAATTTGATGAAAATGAGGACACATCTTACATCGTATACTTTGACGCAAATAATCTATACGGTTGGGCAATGGTTCAACCGCTTCCCTATGGTGGCTTCAAGTGGGTAGAGAATGTTGATAATAGTTTTGATTTCAATGTTGCAGACGATGCACCTATAGGTTACATTTTGGAAGTTGATTTGGATTATCCAGATCATTTTCATGATAAACACAGCGATTTTCCATTTTGTCCGGAACACTCGAAGCCACCAGGGTCAAAAGAGGAGAAGCTCCTAACTACCCTCCTACCGAAACGAAAGCACGTTCTCCATTATCGTGCCTTAAAACAAGCTATTGCCAACGGTCTCGTGTTAGTTAAAATTCATCGCGTCTTAAAATTCGAACAATCCACTTGGTTGAAAAGTTACATTGACTTTAATACCACACGAAGAACAAACGCTAGTAATGAATTTGAGAAAAACTTGTTTAAATTGATGAACAACGCGGTATTTGGCAAAACATTGGAGAACGTGCGAAAACATGTTGAAATTAAACTTGTGACAAAGTGGGAGGGTAGGTATGGAGCTGAAGCCTTAATCTCTAAACCTAACTTCCACAGCAGATCCATCTTTAATCAGAATTTGGTTGCTGTGGAACTTAGGAAAATAGAGGTACTAATGAACAAGCCGGTGTATGTTGGCTTGACTGTTTTGGATGTGTCAAAAACACTTATTTATGATTTCCACTACGATTACATGTTAAACAAGTATGATGAAAATAAATTGAAATTATTGTACACCGACACCGATAGCCTGATTTATGAAATCAAGTGCTCAGACATTTACGCTGATATGAAGCAAGACATTATGAAATTCGACACTTCTGATTATCCGGTTAATAACGTGTACAATATTCCGCAAGCCAACAAAAAGATATTAGGTCTCATGAAGGATGAATGCTGCGGAAAAATTGTAACAGAATTTGTTGGCTTGCGGAGCAAAATGTACAGCGTCCGTGTAGAAGGGAAAGATATCATAAAAAAGGCTAAAGGTGTCAAAGCAGGAGTTGTCAAGAAAAATATCGACTTTGATGATTATGTTTATTGTCTACTAAATATTAAAATGCAATCTAGAACGCAATATTCAATTAGGTCGAATCTTCACAAAGTACAAACTTTGAAACGAACGAAAATTGCTTTAAGTCCTTATGACGATAAGAGGTATCTTTTAGAAAACAGCACCGACACCCTCGCATGGGGTCATTGTAAAATTTTTGAAATCGATGACGATGAGGATAAACTAATGTAAAAAAAAGAGAAGAGGAGGAAGAAATGGTTGTTTGAATAAAAGATGTTTATCTTATTATATTTTATGTCTACTTTATTTAAAAAACCTTAATGTAGTTACATTAACTTGTTATAATTTTTTTAACTACATTTAAACTTATTTTAACTATATTTTAACTTATTTTAACTATATTTTAACTTATTCTAACTTATTTTAACGTTACTTTAACTATACTTTAACTTATTTTAACTTTACTTTAACATTACTTTAACTATACTTTAACGTTACTTTAACTATATTACATATCAGATTTTTTTATCCAACTATTATGTGAGCTATCGAATCCAAGCCATTTCACGTATACATCATTACCACGAGTCTTGAGAACTTTTTCTACGAGGTAAACATGTGGATATTGAACTTTCAGCAATTCTTCTTCATAGAAACCACCTTCGATGGGTTGATTTTGATAATCTTTCAGCTTGTATCTAACTGGTTTTGTTGATTTAACTTTATCCACGGTGAATATTTCCGTTGTACAATTGGGAGTATATCCTTCTTCAAAGATATTTTTAAATTTGCTAACTCGAACTCTGTCTCCAACTTTGAATTTTAATCTTTTCAGCGGAATTCTACGTAGTTTACGGATACGTCTCAGCAGTTCTCTTGTATCTTCTACGGTGACATCTTTGGGTTTCATACCAATAGTACGATGCTTTTTATTATTGTACTTTGACATGAGAGTTGGTAAAAGATTAATCCATTTATAATTGCCTTACAAGCTGAATTCAGGCCACATCATATTTTTTAGAGTGCGGTTAAATCTTTCAACAATTGAGGCTTTCAAATTACTATAGGTAGAATAGAGATTAATGTTAAATTCTTGCATTAAACTCTTAAATTCAGAATTGTAAAATTCTTTGCCTCTATCAGTATGCAAATTTTTTTGGAATTCGGCCTTGTTTGAGAATAGTTTTCATGGCTAAAGAAATATCCTTTCTATTCTTACTCTTTACAGCTACAGCCCAGGCATATTTGGAAAATATGTCTATAACTGTGAGCATGTATTTGAAACCTTTATTAGAATAAGAATAAGGTATCATTTCAACCAAATCTGCTTGCCAGGTTTCATCGATGCCACGCATTTGAACTTTTCGACGAGGATAATTTTTTCTAGCTTGTTTATGCAGTTCAGTTACAACTGTTAATTTTTGATCAGCCATCACTGTTGAATAAATTTAGCCTCTTTAATGATATAATTTTGCTGTGATTCAATTTCTTTAAGTTTTTCATTTACTCTATCCTCGATAATTCGGATATAAAGATTCAAATCATCAATAGCTGATCTTATAGAAGATGTAATTTGAAAAACTGTTTTTATCTCGTTTTTAATAATTTTCTGTGCAAGTCTTAAATTTACAGCGTCTCGTTGCTCTTCAGCGTCTTGAACGTTGCAAAGTCTTTTGTTATCAATGTCGTATTGTTCACTTGGAGTAATTTTAAAACCAATTCCAGAAGGTCCAGGAAGTTCACGACTTGCAAGAGGCTGTGACAGGGGATGTCCAAACACATCAATGCTCATTTTAATACTAAGCTCTATTTGCTTATACTCTCCTAATATATAATGCGAGCTTCACGTAGTTCTTCGATGATTGACATAATTTCATTATTATGGCTTGGATTACCAGCTTGCTGTGATGCTACTAGCAGACGTAAACGGTCAACTAGTTCATTGGGATCATCCCAATAGATGTAGTCTGGGTTAAATTGTTTCTTTGAAATCATAAATTAAGGTAATTTCTTTACAAGCTTCTTCTTCTTCAAAACACCACTACCCTTTTTTGGCGTACCCTTAAAAATTTTGAAATGACATCAGTGTATTTAGAACTCCAGGTTACGTTGACAAGTCCACTGGAACTATAATTTTTTCGGTGTGCATTTGTAGCTACAAGAATTTCTTTATAATTTTCCAAATCATCTGAACTTATTAATGCATGATTAGGTCTTTGTTTAAATAAAAGTTCAATCAACCCAGCAGTTTTTAAATATTTTTTCTTTCCAGCAAGTTGAATATGTAGACCTTCTAAATCAACTGGTGTATCACCAATAATAAAAGAACCATTAGGAAGCTTACGTTCTCCATAAACCATGTCTAAAAAACTTTTTCTGTTTTTATTCAATAATTGAATAAATTTATTTGTCAAATTTTCATAATTAAGTTCTTCTTCTTCTTCAAAGTTGTTGATCTTATCAAGTACAGTGTCATTGAATAGTGTTTTATCAAATTCCTCTTCCTTATTTACAGCAGTTAAGAAAGAAAAATCATTTTCCTCCTTTTTAAATTTTTCTTTCTTAATATTTTTGAAAGGTATGTCAGTTATGTTCACTAACTTTTCCAGAGGTGTTACTATAGGTTGAAAAGTTTCTTTCAATACTGTTTCTGCAGCCTCTTTACCCATTTTGAGTAAACGATGTTTCCGCCTAATAGCATCACTTGCTTTTGCTATTTGACGAAGCGTTTCTTGCTTTTTTCGATACATGTTTTCTTCGAGACAAGATAAACTATACTAATGAAAAATTCAATAAAGTTCTCGTATTTATAGTGAAATGAAGCAATCAAATCCTCTTCTATATCTTCCGTCATTAAAATTACGGTCCTTATCAATAACAACAAATCCATATTTGTCTAATCTCCAACATTCTGAACATAAATCATGAAATTGAGTATAACTCATATCTGTATTAACATGATCTTCGTATACATGTTTCAGATTCTTTTCATCTTGTTTAAATAGAACCAATAAATTAACATTATCTCGAACAAGATGTTTAGGAATACGAGCATACGTTTGACATAAATAGAAACTGTCAACATTTACATGTCTGCCCATACAAAAGAAAGCTCTAACATTATCTTGCTTTTCACAAGCAATGTCATCGAAAACGAATATTGAATTTGCTTTAGCATCTTTTGGAGATACTACTTCTTCATGTTCACTAAATGGAAAATACTCAACACCATCTACCTGACTGATTACATTTTCTAAAAATCTGTATTTCGACTGCTGTAGAGATTTAGAGTAGAGGTAAATATTCTCAAAACTTAGACCATTTGGATGTATTATTAGGGAAAGAAGAGCATTTGTTTTACCACAATTTGAGGGGCCACAGAAAACTGCTCGAATGCTGTCTGAAAACAGACTACCATGGCGTCTATTCTTTTTTTCATTAGTTTCAACATTAATACTAGAGATTGGCAGTGCGATAGGTTGTTTCGTGAACTGCATCTTGACAGTAACTGCTTAAAAATCTATAAATACCCAGCTTTTATAGTCAATTTTGTCAGTTTCACGTCAACCATTGTAGAGTAAAGTATGATTCTGCATCAGGAGGTGAAAAAAGGTCGCTATCAAGGAAAAGGTTTAATGAATCGTATAATCAATAGTTTACCGATTGAGTTACATTTACCAGGATATCAATTCTGTGGACCTGGTACAAATTTGGCAAAGCGTTTGTCTCGAGGTGATCAGGGAATTAATCCACTAGACGCTGCATGCAAGCAACACGACATTGCATATTCGCTAAATCGTGAAAATATTGAAGCAAGAAACGAAGCAGATAAAGTATTAGCTAAGAAAGCGTGGGAACGTGTTACAGCTAAAGATTTTGGTGTAAGTGAAAGAGCAGCTGCTTTAGCTATATCTGGAACCATGAAAGCTAAATCAAAATTAGGTATGGGAATAGAAAGGAAATCATCTATAAAGAAGAAAAAGAGTAAAACAATGTGTAAGAAGAAGCAAATAGCGCTAAGAAAAATTGTTGATGCTGCTCGAAAAAGTATGTTTCTCAGTAATAATGCTGAAGAATCAATAAGAGCAGCTATGATTGGTACTCAAAAAGCAATAAAAAATGTTGGTGGTAAATCCAAAATTTTATCACCTAGAATTCTTCCTGTACCTACTAAAGTAGGTGGAATTTTACCGCTAGTTCCAATTTTTGCTGGACTTAGTGCTTTAGGAGCTCTTGTTGGAGGCGCTTCAGGAATAGCAAGAGCTGTTAATAGGGCTAAAACAGCTAGTGAACAGCTTAAAGAAGCTCAACGTCGCAATAGAACTATGGAAGCCATATCGCTTGGAAAAGGATCACACCTTAAACCTTATCGACAAGGACTTGGTCTCCACTTGAAACCCTACATTCAAGGAAAAGGAATTAAAAAACGAGCATCAAGAAAAAAGAAGCAAACAACAAGAAGCAAAAAAAACTTGTTTTGAAGCTACCTCACCGTCCATTAACTGATTTTGATTTGTTGAAGTATGCCAAAGTTGCCAAAATACCTCATTTTCGTGGTATTTTTATGCGAAATGAACTACCTGTAAGTGGTCCTCACCAGTGTGAATCAGGAATAATTAATCTTGATAATAAAGAAGGTGCTGGAACACATTGAGTAGCATATAAAAAATTCAAAAACGAAACAATGTATTTTGATAGTTTTGGCAACCTTGCTCCACCAACAGATCTTGTCATTTACTTAGGTGATGGTAGCTTAATAAAATATAATTATAAAAGATATCAAAATTATGATACATTTGTATGTGGACACTTGTGTCTTACATTTTTGTGTAATCAACTTAATGTTAAGAGTTGTTTTAACCTTTATAAGACTATGTAACACCTGTAAGCTTTCAGTATAAAATCTGACAGCAACATGAGTGATTCGTTTACTTTAACGTTAACAGGAAATTCTTCAGTTCTGGGAGCTGAATATTTCCCTCCAATAGAACTAAATTCAAATAAAAGTTATGTACTTGGACTTGTTGAACTGTTGAATTTTAATTCAATTCCCAATATTAATAAAGGAAATAACAAGTTTTACGTTGGAAATCAAGTAATTGATATTCCAATTGGAAGTTATGAAATTAAAGATATTGAATCATATTTACAAAATTCTGTAAAAACTGGAACTGTTATTACTATAAAACCTAATAATAATACATTTCGCAGTATTGTTGAATCTAATTTACCAATTGATTTTAAACCTAAAGATTCGATTGGTAAGTTGTTGGGATTTACATCGCAGAAACTGTCATCTCATAGGGCACAAACTTCTGATTTACCTGTAGCCATTTTAAAGGTTAATTCAGTTAGAATTGAGTGCAACATAACATCTGGAGCGTATATAAATAACCAAAAAGTTCACACTATCCATGAATTTTTTCCTAGCGTTCCACCAGGATATAAGATTGTGGAAGTGCCTGCACACGTCATTTACCTTCCGATTGCCACCAAGACAATACATAGTATACAGCTGCGAATTGTTGATCAGGACGGTGATTTAATCAATTTTAGAGGAGAAACTATAACAATTCGATTGCATATAAAGTCTTTGTAATGGGAATCGTTTATAATCAAAGAGCTGTTGTTGGTGGAAACTATAAAAGTCAACCAATATGCAAGAGTCCAATCAGTCTAAATTTATCTCACAAGGTGTTAACACCTCAGAATCGCCTCTTTCTGCAAGAACTAGGTCTAAAAGTTCAAGGAAAGAAAATAAGACAAGAAGACAATTAATCTACATATTTTTTGGTTGCTGTTGCAATAAAAATGGACGAACTTCTCAATATTCCAGCAGCAGTGAATTTCGATGAGTCCATAGCTCATTATGAAATTCATGCTCATCAACCATACGCATCATCATCGTTTAACAATAGCGATGAAATTCGAATTGTGCATTTTACCTAGTAAAAGTTCATTACACATTTTTGGTAGATTAACTAAAAATGATGGAATTACTCTTACACAAAACGTACATTTAAGTAATAATGCTGTATGTTTTTTGTTTGATGAAATTCGCTATGAACTAAATGGTATTGAAATTGATCGCTGCAAATACGTTGGACATATTACAATCATGAAAAATTACACCTCGCAAACACCAACTCAGTTAAATTTTATTGAAAATGCTGGATATTCAAAAATTGCAGCTGATGCAAGACTTGTATTGGAAAATGGATATTTTGATGTCACAATACCACTCAGCATGATTTTTGGTTTTGCCGAAGATTATAAAAAAATCATTATGAACGCTAAACATGAACTTATTTTAACAAGAGCACGTTCTGACGTGAATGCTGTAATTCAAACAGGACAAGGAGGGGATGAAGAATGCAAAATTTCCATAAATAAACTTGAATGGATGGTTCCATACGTTTTGCCTTCTGACAATAACAAAGTTAAATTAAATAAATAAATTCCTCAAAATAAAACTTATTCTAATTTTGAAAAATAACTTATACTAAGAGAAGTAAAGTAAATTTAAAACCAATTTATAGGTAAAACTTTGTGTGTTTATTTTATCAAAATTTTTTTAAATATATATATATACATTTTCTTTTTACAATTTATTGTAACAATTTAAATTCGACAACATTATATGGTCCTCCAAGATACTTCATTTGAAGTTTCTTCGATATCGCAGCTTCTTTCATCATGTCCAAGGTGGTAGGTTCATCCTCAAAGAGCTTGATTAATCTTGTTGGTAAGTATGTGACGAAATCAGCATCAATCTCAACTATGATCCTAGGTCCATATTTGGTTTGGACTTTCTTCATTTTTGAGACGTAGTACAGTCCATCTTTCATCAATTCCGCGAGCGGCTTCGTCGGCAGGTAACCTTCAAATCGCTCAACAGAGTTGACTTTTTCTAGATCCATTTTTTTTAGCTGTAAGAAAACCTTAAACAAAAAAAACAAGACAAAGAACTGTAATAAAAAAATTAGTTTTTAAAAGTAACACAGAAAATATAGCTGAAAAAGAAACTTAGAAAATATAGTTGAAAAAGAAACTTAGAAAATTTAGCTGAAAAAGAAACTTAGAAAATATAGCTGTAAAAGAACTTAGAAAATATAGCTGTAAAAGAAACTCAAAAATATAGCTGAAAAAGAAAATTAGAAAATATAGCTGAAAAAGAAACTTAAAAATATAGCTGTAAAAAACTCTTTAAAAATAAAAAAAAATAAAATAAAAAAAACTTAGAAAAAACCTGAAATTAAAACTTAAAAAAAAAAGGGTGAAAAGATATGTTAAGGAGAAAGAGACCTGAAAGAGAGAACAAGACCTGGAAGAGAAACTTACCTAAAATGATGGAAGCTGAAAGAAAGAATGAGTGTGTTTGCCCGCGCTCCGTAACTTATACCCTAGTCCCCACTATACTCACCTCCCCACTGCGCAACTCCCCACTACTCCACAGGCGCGCGCAACTCTCCTACCACAATGTAGTAAACGCCGACTACCGGGATAACTTGAAGTTAACATAACCCAAGTGGGTCATCGGTCGGTAATGCAGAACTCTGACATACCGACCCGACCAAAAATCGTGGAAGACATCTGCATTACCGACTGATGATAATACTTACCATCGGTCGGTAATTTACCGGCATTTTTATAGGGGCATTATCATCAAGGTCGGTAAAGTAGAGCACCAACCAACTTTCACTTAGTGGCGCGAAATTTAAAATTGCCTCTTGTAACCCACTTGAAAGTTTAAAAATAAAAAATTTAAATATCCCGCCACGTGGGTCAGAATTTACATGTGGCGCCATCTCTCGGTGGCAGCTTGAACACAGATGTCGGTAAAACAGAACGTCCCTTCTAACACACTTGAAAATTCAAAAATAAAAATTTTAATACCCATCTAAGGGGGTTTAAATTGAGTGGTGGCGCCATCTAGCGGTGGCAGCCGGTACTAAAAACTCGGTCGGTAAAGTAGAACATCCCTTCTAACCCACCTGAAAGTGATCTATTAGGTAATCTACCTTACCGTCGGTCGGTAACTGGGTTAGAACCCGTGTAGCTTAACTACTTAACAATTAATAATCTATAAACTCAGAAGAGAAATGAGATTTACCGGGATTTCAATATTCTTCTAAAAATAATACAACAAAATCTTTTTTCTAACAGTTCCCTAACATTTTATACTTATAGCGAGATTTGAGTGTACATATAGAGACTGAAACTTTATGCTTTTCGACAAGACAATAAATGCTCTTTAAATACTTGTAATTATACTTTTTTAAAAATAGAATATTGCTATAATTATGCTCAAAAGTTAATTACTGCTTTAATTATGCTTTGATGTTAATAAATTTAAACGGTCACAATATTATTAAGTACCTAAATGTAATAAATTTTAAATTGAGTCATTGAAATAAGAAAAAATATATAAATAATTTCTCACATCATTCAAATATAAAAAATAAATATGAAAATAAACCACTGATTGGTGATATAGTCGAAATCTTCCTTAATTAAAATTCTTAATCAGCAAATAATTTCCTACATTGATTTATATTTATGTTTTGTATTTTCATGTATTTTGTATTATAATTACTCTTTAAATTTGAATCAGCGAAAAGTCGCTGATTATGCAGCTATAAGTATAACAGTCACTGATATTTTCAGCTGCATAATCAGCGATTTTTCGATGATTCAAATTTAGAGAGTAAACTGATTTTTCTCCCAAGAATTATCATCAAAATATAAGAAGTTTAAAATTTTAAATTATTATGTTAAAAGATGTTTATGGGATTTTTGTCGACAAAATATCATTTATACTGAAAAAAATAAATCTGACAAATTCAACTATACCTTTGGATAGTTAAGTGAAAAGTAGTTAAAACAACTACTATTGTAGTTAGTCTAACCCGGTTTGTGTGGGTTCAAAATAAGTCTTAACCTTTCGTCTTAAAATCTCTAAAAATTCCATTACTGCACCTTAACATTAATGTCATTAACAGTAACTTTATTATTTGCATTTAATTGTATATCATTTAAGTTATATAATCATTTAATTTCTTTAAAGTATTGAACGAAGAAATTATGACGGAAACACCATTTAAAACGGCTTACGACAATAGGACTAAGTTTTATACTAATTATACTTATATAAGTATGTCCTTAAAAAAATATTGCCTTAAAAATTTTTATTTCAATTGATATCTGTATATGTTCACATGAAAATGGTTTACTTCAAAACTTATTTAGTTATTAATTTTTATTATAATTATTTATTAATTATTAAATTTACTTACTATTCATTCTTATATTATAATATATTTTGATTCATATACCTATTATAAGAATATTCTTCAAAAAATTCTAAACATTTTAAATAAGTCAGAAAAGTCAAATTAAATGTTTTGTTTTCCTCTTACTCTCATAAAAAAGCAGTAAAGCTGAGCGAGCTCCTGGAGAAGTATTAGTGAAATTGAATTTTTTTTAAATTTGAAATTTGGTGAAAGCATTTAATTCTTTTTTGTGAAATGAAACTTGGAAATATTTTTAAAATGAAAAATATCCTTATGCTCGGTCATATAAATCTCAACCTTATGTTCTCCGAGTAATTTAAAAAATTATAAATAAAGTTATAATTTCGTTTTATTGTTTTATTTATAATTTTTTTCAATTAATTAAACTTTGAGATTTTGGAGTTTGTTTTCCAGAAATAAATATAATGTGGAGAACTTTAAAAAATACAATAGTCTTCTAAAAAAACGAAATCTCTGAAAAAACGAAAAGTGACCTTTTTCATGTGGATGTATAAATTTATTTACTGAGCAGCTACACAAAAAATTCTTGTTTTTGATCTGCAAATCAGACTTTGCATGTCTATTTTTTTGGGTCGCTAAATCCGAATTCAAGGTACATAACTTCAAGAAACAAATATGAGGAATACATTTTAAAAAGATTTTTTTAATTCGATGCAAAATTTTTACACGCGGGTTTTTGAGATAATTACGAATTTGAAGTTAGTTTTCTTAAACATTTAAAAAGGCGTATCAAATAGTGGACTCTTTCTTAAAAATTCATTAAATTCCTTTTTGAGAATGCTAATTACGAATTCGAGGTGAGTTTGAAAGAATTGAAAATGATTGGTCTAATAAATATTTTCTTTTTATGAATTAAAAACTTGTCTGTCCAAGTGTACCTGAAATTACTCTATATTTTACGTGTGTCTGCATATTTATGGCACCTTCACGTGGTTGCGGTATACTTTGGAGATTATCTAGTATTCATCTAATTGTCTGGATAATGGCTTCCATATTTATACAAGACAAACATGTACGTATATCCTGATTAAAAAGTTGAGAAAGCAGACATACAATCCCATCGTCATCATAAAAACTAACATCAACAATCACTTAAAATTCGTTATTTTGAATTATTGAAGGTAACATCAAATTTATAATTTAGCATTTCGCTGCAATAATCGGTCGAGCACGTGAACGCAACCTCGAAAACCAGTGTGTAAATTTAAAAGCAATTTTTAAAAAAGTATTCGACATATTTTTTTTCATTTTTTAAGTTATGTCAAAACCGTGATTGGATGAGATAAAGTAGACCCTGCATTCGGATTTAGTAACTTCACTATTTTTAGTGAGGATTTTGCTTCACTATTAGAACGCATAATTATCGAATAATATGCCCTTAACTTGACTTTAAAGAAAAAATTTATAAAACATTACAATTAAAAATAATAAATTACAATAAAAAATTTATTTTCATATAGAGAACATCATAGCACTTTCTGATGAATTATACAGTAAAGAGGAAGTTGAAATCATCAGAGGACAATCCTATCCAAATACATTAGTGCACTGTAAGTATACATAAATATGCAAAGAATTTTTTTAAAATATAACCAGTACTTTTTTTTTGAAAAAATTACTAAAGAAGATTGTTATGAGATGGAATTATATAATCTTTCTTGAAACTTACCTGTACATTGTAGTGCAATATTGTCAAGTTTATTATTCAATGTTGCGTATTAGCTATATGCGTGAAGATAAATTACAACAATCCATAATGGCAGATCCCAGTAAAAAAAAACTAATTCAAATGAATTGAAACGAATTAACATTTTTGGTAGGCTCCAATTCGTATTTGTCACAAAGCGGGATTCACTCAAGCTCTTTGCATATTCAATTGAATTTAATTCAATATGTACCAATTTGTCCAAACGAATTCGCATTCGAAAGAAATGGCCAAGGAATGCATTGAATTCGTGCTAACGAATTGAAAAAAAATTAAAGGCTCAAAACTTGTCCAGTGAATTGGTACAGATAGAAGGTTTGGAAGTTCAATACAGTTTCACGAATTCAGGAAAATTGCATCATGGCTCCAATTCGTATTTGTCACAAAGCGGGATTCACGTAAGCTCTTTGTGAATTCTTTTTAATTCATTTCAATTAG